GAATATGGTTACTCAAATCTATAACCGATAGGATATGGTTACGGATATGGTTTTGTAGTGAAATATCCGTATCCGTATCCGAAATATCCGAATACATATTAGTCACACTCTTACGGATAGTTTCGATTCTTAGATTATGGATTTGTGGTTAATTTTGATGATCAAGATGTCTAATCTTAACTTTTCAATTATAATGGACATATTAACAAACTCTTTTGTATCACATGAACTATGTTTTTCTCAATGCTATCTAGTTTTCTCATATCTGTTTTGTATTTGCATGCATATCCGCTTATATATCCGCATGTATATCCGTAACCGTATCCGATTTTAGCGGATATGATTTATAAATTTTTCTTACTAAGGTATATCCGTATCCGTATCCGAGATGGGTAAGCGGACATGAATATGATAAGCATCATATCCGAGCCGTATCCGGACCGAATGCACCCCTAGCTCTCATGCATCCCTATGAGTTCTGCATAATTATGAATTTGAAGTTCCTCCTCTCCTCAAAAGTAAGAACTAACAATTATATTTCATCACAACTTAACAAATATCATATGTATATTTCGTAATAAAAATGATGAGACCTTAAAAAAATCGCACTTCACAAAATGGTCGAGACATGAAACAGAACCTACATTCACACTAAAGAACTAAGAGCATTGAAACAAGTGCAGGATATGGGGGAAAAAATCCCAAGAAAAGAACCCCAAAAAATTGACATACATGATAAGATTATTACCTCTCTCTTCAGGTTAATCCACATAAAAAACAACAAGTCTCTCACGGGATCAACATTAAACAGTGGGCTGGATGAAAATAACTCATGATCGATCCGCTGGCAAAATTTGGCTGTAAGTTTTTGTTCACTAAATAGCCAAAAAAAAAGAGACTATTTCACTCCTGACTCATTTTCTGAGGCTTCTGAAGGTTGAGGCCTCAAGCCTGCTAGCTGTTCAAGCTTCCATATCAAAGTACTCATTTTTGGCCTGAACTCAGGTTCATATTGCAAACAGAGCGCAGCAAGTGATGCAAACTGCGGGGAAAATCAATGTTGCATGGATAATACCACAGTTTGGTATCTATAGTATTGAGCTAAGTTTATCAAATGGATTTTTTTTAAAGAATTGATTAATTCCAGAGTAAGAGAAGGTTGCACTTTAATTAGGAGGTTTAAATGCAGGTAGACCCCCTGTAGTATCTTTGTTTTGAACTTACTACCCATCTAGTTTTATTGTTGCAGATAGACCCCCTGAGTGAATTCTGTTTGCTTAAGTTGCAGATAGACCCCTGAGTGAATTTTGCTTGCTCTTTTACCCTCTGAGGTTCTATTGTCAAAAATCAAATTTCTCTTTCTCTGAGAGAAAAAGAATCAAAAGCAAATTCACTCGGGTTGTCTATCTCCCATTAAAAAAAAAACAGGAGGGGTATTCAAACAAATATGCTAGGGGGGTCTATCTGCAATTAACCCTGATTGGTATCTCATGTTTATAGATTATACCTGAATCACTTCACTCATTGGATATTGCTCCATCAACTTTGGGTCTACACACTGGTGTACCTGATCCTCGACCAATCTTGGAGTTGCCTAACAGAAAACAAGAAAGGATCACATTTCGACACGATAAAAAGAATTCAGTAAAAAATGGAATGAAACGCCTTACTTCTGTAATGGAAAAAGGCCCTAAGATCAGATTCAACAGTCATTGCTTTTGAAATATTTTGTTCAAAAAAATTTGATTTTGAAATATTAATCGTCAATCTCCAAAAATGAGCTATCTTTACTTGTGAAATTTGGTCTTTTGCAATATTGCAACCTGCATTTAGATAACCAACCATGATAGAACTACAGGACTGGGAAATATCTAAAGTTGTGCAATGGACATTTCATTGCCAATTTCCTTTTTACAAAATTTTACAAAATTGAACTAATACATAAAAAAGCACGCAAAGGATTGGGACACAAAACTGAGAAAATTTTAGCCGCATAATTTCACTTTATCGAATATGAGAGGGTGTTCAGTTAGGTTATAGATTCTCATTCTTCACGTGCTCTTTGACATAGAGCAACCACTATATCCATGTACAACATGAAGTTAACAATAGGGAAATAGGCATTTCTAGCTTACCCAATTAACTAAACTGTGTTGGCCTTTAGGTTTTGTCCGGTCCAGTGGTCTTCGACCTGTTAAAAGCTCCAAGAGAACAACACCGAAGCTATATACATCACTTTTCTCATTTAAAGAACCGGTGACGGTATACCTGCATTTTACTCAAATATACAAGACAATTAAAAGTTAAAACTTCAATCAGAAAGCACACGAAGAAATGTCAGAAAAGGAATGTAGACAGTATAAAACTTAATCTATGGAACTTAATGCATTGTTGGATTTGTAGGAAAAAGGATTTAATTTAGGGTATAACTGGAAAATTTTCCATCCCGTGCCTCGAACAGCTTTTTTCTTTTATGAGCTATATATTTTGGAGACCTGATGCGATATGGATAATATAGGCAGTACATACGTAAAAAATGGCTACAGTTAATTTTCTTGAAGCAGAATTTTTGTCAGCCAAGTGAGCTTGACAGTTTCCTTAATGAAAGTTTTTCACCAAAAGTTAATGTGTACAGATTAATGTGGTCTGTTAACAATGTTTTGATAAGGGCCAACTCTAATAATGAGTAGAGCAGATTTTTTTAGTTCCTATTGTCTCCATGGTGAAAAAACTCACATCTACAACTAGAGGTCCAAATTTGGTAGACTTTTATTTTGGAAACCTGTCAATATGCGATAAATGGTCTGTCTGAATTTGAATTTAAAGGTTTTCCCCCAGTTCTTTTTAATTTTGGCTAAGATAATCAAGCAAAGAGATCAGTCAAGATCATTGCAGACTTATCGAAAAATAATGTCACAACTATAAATATGTGCTAAATGAATGAAAGACATGAGTTTCTGGTTCTTACTCTGGTGCATTATAACCAAAGGTCCCCAGGACTCGCATAGAGTTAAGATGAGTAGCCAGATCAGGGTTACCAATGTTAAAATCAACTTTTGCATTAAAGCCCTCAAATAAAAGAACATTGCTAGACTTGACGTCCTGATGCGCAATGTTCTCCTGATGAAGGAATGCTAATCCCATTGCTACATCATAGGCAATTTTTACACGCTGAGCCCAACTCAGAACAGGATCACAAGCTGAGATTTGGTATCCACTTCCACCTGTAGATACAACGAAATGTATTTAATGCCCGAAATCAATGATGCATATATATCTGTACAGATATTTGAATACAAAAGGAAGGGTAAATTTCACATAACATCCGTAAAGTTTGGCCCATTTTGAGACAACCCCTAAAACTTTATTAATGTCACTCGACCCCCCTGACCTTTGGGGCTGCCACATAACGCCCCAAAAGTTTCCAATTTTCGCAACATGCCCCCCTAATGCTGTAATGGGGTTTCTTGAAACTTAATCAAAAGTTCATGGTGGTTTTCTGAAAATAATATTGAAAGTTTGAGTTTTCTGAAAATAATATTGAAAGATAGGGGTATGTTGCAATTGGGGGTTTTGTGACAAGCCTCAAAGATTAGGGGGTTAAGTGATATTTATAAAGTTTAGGGAGCTATATCAAAATAGGCCAAAGTTCAGGGCCGTTACATGAAATTTACCCTAAGAAGAAAGGGTAACTTAATAGAAAATCCTTGCGTTTGGCAACGGGCTAAAGGGGGTTAATTGAGTTTAACCCCTCATTAACTTTACAAACAACAAAAGTACCCAAATAGTTATTTATTTATAATAATTGATAAAAATATGTATTAAATTCATATAAATTTGCTAAAAAAAAAGAGCAATATTAGATCCTCAATAAACCATACATAGTTAAATACTAAATAGCCAAAATAATAACTAACAAGGTTATAGAAAGCACTAGGAGGCCTAAGTGTTGGACCCGTTGCCTAGAGCCTAGGAAGTTTTTTTATTTTTTAATTACAATAATTGATAGTAAATGTCAATGTTATAGAAAGCTTAGATGTCGGACTGGTGTCTAGGCAGATTTTTTTTTTTCATTTAAGTGGTGGTCGAGAAAATTTTGCTGAAGGTCGGAGGAGGTAGTGGAGGTGTTCATATTTGGAGGTTAAAGGAGTTTGGAGAAGGTTGGAGGACGTGGAATCTGCAACACAGAAAATCATGATCAAGACCTAAAGGATGCAGTCCACATAAACAAACAATGTTCCCCTAAACACTTCTAGAATCTAGGTGGCAGTCTAGGTACCGCCTAGGCGTTAGGGGCTAATTAGATGGCCTAGGTACCATCTAGGTCTAGACGTACACCTAGGTGGACTAGGCGAAGGCTTTTTAAAACAGTGGGTGATGTTTAATTAACATCTAACTAACACTTAACCCATAACTGTACGGATTAACAGAGATCACTTGAGGAGGCGGGCTAAACTAACTCGGGGGCAAAAGTAGTAATAATAGAAAAATTAAAAACAATATCTATGAGCTTGTTCTTTATGCTTGGTTAACTACCTCAACTTATTAAAAGATGATATTGTGTACCTGACGCAGACGTAGAAACGAGAAGGCCGATCAGATATCGTTCCGATGCCGACGAGCCTTGACAACAGCAGGTAATTCACGAGCTTGAATCCATAGCTCTAAGTTTCTCAAAGTTGAGAACGTAAACAAGGAGAAAATTTCTCTTGATTGAATAATTAAAAAGTTAATTACTTGATTTACAAAAGGAACTATTATTTATAGCTAACTAAACCTATCCTAACTCTAATAAAAAAGAAAGTCTAAATCTAAAAGGAAATAACCAAAAAGAACTCTTTTCTAATCTAAAAGGAAATAATAAAAAAGAACTATTTCCTAATCTAAAAGGAAATAACTAAAAAGAACTCTTTCCTAATCTAAAAGGAAATAACAAAAAAGAAACTCTTTCCTAATTTGATATTCGAGTCGACACGGGTGCTTTTCTTCTTGTCTCGTCCAATGCTTGATCTCCTGTATCAGTCCCTCCTTCTTCAGAAGAACTCGTCTCTGAGTTCGCATCACTCGAATACAACTTGATTGAAGGATGATAATAAAAAATATCCGCCACGTTAAATGTTGCCGACATAGCCATTCCTTTTAAAAGATCCACTACTTATGCATTATCATTGATCTTCTTGAAAATCTTAAACGGTCCGTATCTTTTCGGCTTAAGCTTGTTGTATACTCCAGCTGACATCCGTTCCTTCCGCAAGTAAACCATCACCATGTCTCCTTCATTGAACACCTTGAGTCGCCTCTTCTTGTTCAAGCAATCCATCATGGGAGCAACTATAGAACTGAAATTACGAATAAAATGCCGATAAAAAGATGCTAGCCCATGAAAGCTTCTTACTTTCGTAACACTTGTTGGAGTCAGCCAATCGTTGATTGCCTTAACTTTGTCCTTGTCGACTTGGATCCCCTACAAGCTTACCATGAATCCTAAGAACATAAGTTGAGTCATCAAGGACACACACTTCTTAAGGTTGATGTAAAACTCATTCTCCTTTAGCACTTGGAGACCTCTCGGAGATGCAACATATGTTCCTGCTCATCCTGACATTCGTAGATGCCCTCACTACTCTTGAATGCAGTCTTCCACTCATCGTCGGGTCGAATTCGGATCTGATGATATCCACTCCTCAAGTCGACTTTCGAAAAGACACTCGTGCCTCCTAACTGATCTAACATGTCGTCTAGCCGAGAGATTGAGAACCTGTAGCGAATTATAATCTTGTTAATGGTCCTACTATCCACACACATCCGCCAACTGTCATCCTTCTTTGGTGTTAACAGTACTGGAACTGCGCATGGACTCATACTCTCTCGGATGTGGCCTTTCTTAATAAGGTCCTTAATGGTATACTGTAGGATCTTTTTCTCATGTGGGTTCATACGATAGTGAGGAAGATTAGGAAGCACTAAACCCAAAATAAAATCAATGTAGTGTTGAATATCCCTCATGGGAGGAAGTCCCTCTAACAGCTCTTCAAGAATTAAAACTTCAAAGTCCTTAAGCAGTGACTTCATCTTCTCTGGGATCTCAACGAGTGTCTTCACTTCTTCCTTCACTACTAAGGCAAACCTCTGCTTTAACTCCTTTGACTCGGCCAGAAATTCACCCTTGTTGCAAAGAGATATTCGTTTGGACTTTTGATCTTTGGGATGTTTTGGAGAGGGTAGAATAGGTGGTATGATGATCTTTTTATTCATCCACACGAAAGAGTATTTGTTCTTCTTACCGCCATGCTTGGCGTCAACATCATACTACCACGGGTATCCTAACAATACATGGCACACGTTCATATCCACAACATCACAAGCAACAGAATCACTATAACTCTTGCCTAATGATAGTGGCACGCGGCATACTTCGGTCACCTGTTGGCCTTCTTGTTTTGATGATGATTTACAAACAATTTACATCTAATATTGTTTGTCTAGTGTTTGTGTTTTATATTTATTCTAGGCAAACAATATGTTGGAGGATGGATGGATTGAGCCTACACGATCATATCAAATGGAGGTTGGCGGAATGTCGGGTTGAAGCCTTGCAATTCAAAGTTAAAGATCAAGTTCAAGCTTCATCCGCATGTGTACCAAGATAGAGCTTCGTTGAAGATCACAAGCTTGGGTATATTTAGTTTAGGTTTTTATATTATGTGTCTTGGGTATATTTAGTTTAGGTTTTTATACTTGTGTGTTGATACTTTAAGCTCATATTATTCACACACACGTATTTGTTGATTTTATCAAAATATAGGTGTTTTTGTGAAAACATTATTTTATTAGTTTATAGACTTTAATATCAGTTTATACATAGTTTATAAAGTTTATAAAATCATTTTGTAGAGTTTCAAAAGTTTGTTTAAATCAAATGTCAAAACATAAATCATTTTGTAGAGTTTCAAAAGTTTGTTTAAATCAAATGTCAAAACATGTATGTTTCGTTTTCATGCTTTTGGACATATTTGAAAAATGATGGGTTTTCACTATTGGGGAATGCAATTCCAAAAATTCTTTTTGTAACATGTTTATTATCATGTTTATAAACATTTTTCAATGTTTCATAATTTTTGGAATTTATTTGTTATTTTTAAAGGCACTTTAAAAATCAGTTTTCCAGCATGAACAGTGCCTGTGCATGTTTATAAGTCGACTTATAAACCCTGACAAGTCGACTTATGAACTCCTCTAGAAAGTGCATTTTCTCCTCTGCTAAGTCGACTTATAAAGCAAGGCAAGTCGACTTATATAAGTCGACTTATAACTTTTTATAAGTCTACTTATGAAGTGTTGCACAGTTATGTATTTTTGACCAGTTTACAAAATAAATTATTTCTCTCAAATGGGAAGTGATATTTAAGAAATTCCTTCTCTAACATGTTCATATACACGTTTAGAAGCTTCCCTAAAAATTTTATAATTTTTGGAGTTAATTTACTGTGTCAAATTGATTTTAGAAAATCGGGTGTTTCAGCAGTTTTTAGAATCTGAAATATCTGTATTCAAATATTCATTTCTCACAAATGAGAAGTGATATTTCAGAAATTATTTTTGTAAAATGTTTATTTACATGTTTAGAAACATCCCTCAAAATTTCATAATGTTTAGAGTTGATTTACTATTTTTAACTGATTTTACAAATCCAGATACGCATAATTTTCAGCATCTGCCAAAAACTGTATATGTCATAAGTCGACTCTAAGTCGACTTATCAGAGAGCCGTTGCACAGTAACGGCTAGTTTTCTGTTTTGTTTGTTTTTGGGTTTTTGGTCATTTCCTTGGGGTTTTGGCTGATGTCTTGGGTTGTTATAAATACCCCATTGCATTTACCTCTCCCATCTAACAAGAACAACAAGAGAAAAGTTTTTAAGAGGTTTACAAGTTTTGTTTAAGGGTTTAGTGTTTGTTTAAAAAGCTTTTAAGCATTTACAAGAGTTTGATTTGTGGAGCAAATTTCACAAGAGCAAGTGGAGATCATCCTTGGTGTTTGAGCATTCATTCTTCTCCCTCTCTCTTGTCATCTATAGAGAAGTTTCCTTAAACTCAATTCTAGCATTTTATAAGTTTGTTCTTAATTTCATAAGCTAGATTTCATATTGAGTTTATATTGTTTTATCTCTTTGTTCACACACAACCTATTGAGCTTATTGTATTTACATTCATAGTATAATTTGGGGTTGTGGGTTTGTGACTAAGAGTTGTGCTTAATTGAGTTCTCACCTTGTTAGAGAGAACAATCATTTGTCATATTGTGCCTAATTGTGAGGATTCACTTGTAATACACTTGTACACCGAGAGAAGTGTGTGGTGAGAGACGGGGTCGAATCCAAGAGGAGTGGCGTCGGTTGACGTGCCTAGGGAGAGGTTGTAACCGAGCACTTGAGGAGGAGGACACGGGCTAGGACCAACACTTAGTGTGTGAGGTGTGATTACATAGTGATTGTATTGTGAGGTGTAAACGTTGTTCGGGTGAACGTAGAAAACCCGGTTGTGATAGTGGAGATCTCCTCGAGGTGAGGAGCGGAGACGTAGGTCGTGGGGACCGAACTCCGTAATCATATTGCTTGTTTGTGATTGCATTGGCGCACTTCTTTTATGTTTATATCTTATACCACTATCTTGTTTAGATTGTTTACCCCTTGTGTTAGTTTATATATCCTTACATATATATATATTTCATCATATAGGATATATCTCATTGTTTACATTGCTTATCCTAGCTCATATATCTTGTGGTATTTTATTCTTGCTAGGATAACTCATTAATTAATTTTAATTAGCATTTAATCGGATTAGATTAGCATAAGACCCTAATCACCCCCCCTCTAGGGTCTAACATCACCTTCACGGAGGGATCCTTCTTGATCCATCCTATGGTATAAGGCACATGCTTTGTTTTAGTCAACAGTTTTAAGTGATCCACCAAAGCCTTTGACATAATATTCTCACAGCTTTCATTATCAATGATGAGGGTGCATACCTTATTGTTGACTGAACATCTAAAAAAGAAAATTTGATGTTGTTGTGATGAATCTGGTGTCTTCTGAGCGCACAGAAGTCGTTGAACAACACACGACATATTATCGCCTTCAATCTCTGCAACCTCTTCCTCATACTCTTCTTCGGATGTCGTGTGTCCATCCTCGGCTTCTTCATAATCCGCTAGATTGACCTTCCGCCGTTGCGGGTACTCGTTGGGCTTATGCCTTGGTTGGAGACATTGAAAATACTTCCATACAGTCGGCTTGGCATACGAATTTGCTTGAGTCGTTGGGGGCTGTGGTTGAGTTGTCGACCACTCGGCCGATCGTGGAGGAACAGGCAGATCAGTCGTCCTTTGCCCGACCGACTCACCTCCCGCCTTCTACAACGAACGTCCCCGTTCGGCTTGTCTAAAAGATAACGCCTTAGAGGCCAATCTTTTCGCCTTGAGAGCCATGTTATGAGCTTCGTCCACAGAGTACACGTTGTGGATGACCACCTTCTCTTGAATTGAATACTTCAAACCTCCGATATATTTGACCGCGAGTTGCTCCTCGCTCATCGACAAATCACAATGAGAAGTAAGACGGAAGAACTCTTCGGTATAATCACTTACTAATCTGATGCCTTGACGGTATTGCTCGAACTGGCTGTAAAGGATTTGTTGGTAGTCGGGTAGTAGGAATCTAGCCTGGAGTAATTGCTTCATGCGTCGCCAAACCCGAACTGGTTGCTACCTTGCCATCGCCTACTGTTTTGAGTCTAATCCCACCATGTCGCGGCTCCTCCTTTGAGATAATATGCCACAAACTTCACTTGATTTGCTTTGGGTACATTAGCCATCTCAAAGAACTTCTCCACTTTCATATAGCCAATCCAAGAAAGCCTCTATGTCTAGATTTCCTCCAAAGGAGGGGAGTTCCACCTTCATCCAGTACTCTTGGTCGTGGTGATGTCTGCCCTGTCGATGATAGTTACGACGAGGGTTGAATCCTCTGCCTTGACCTCTGCCATAAGGTCGTCCTCCTTCTTCGCTCGAGACATTTTTGTACTATGGTCCCTCAAATTGGGCACCATAGTCTGCTCCTTCATCACTAGATTCATCATGTGGAGGGGGTTGGTTGGGATGTCGTCTATGATGTGGAGGGGGTTGATACAGAAGTGTTTGATATGGAGGAGGCTGATGTGGAGGGGGCTGATATAGAGAGGTTTGGTTTGGACGTGGTTGATATGGAGGGGGATGAACTTGAGGGGGTTGGGGATTGTACGGGGGTGGATGTCGGGGTAGCCTAACTCTGGGTTCTCTTAGGTGAAGATCGTCAGTGAAATTATTCCCATTATTAAGGTGAATGGTAAGTCACTCAATGGCTTGTTGAAGGTTCTGAAGAGACGCCTCCAACGTGCCAAATCTTTCATCCATAGAATCTATCCACATAGAAAGATCCTGTAGAGAAAGTTCCTTCTCGCCGTCACCTGCCATTGTTGAGGATGTTGAAGCCGAAGCTCTGATACCACTTGACGCAGAAGATATCATTCCGATGCCGACGAGCCCTGACAACAGCAGGTAATTCACGAGCATGAATCCACAAGCTCTAAGTTTCTCAAAGTTGAGAACGTAAACAAGGAAAAAATTCTCTTGATTGAATAATATAAAAGTTAATTACTTGATTTACAAAAGAAACTATTATTTATAGCCAACTAAACCTATCCTAACTCTAATAAAAAAGAAAGTCTGAATCTAAAAGAAAATAACCAAAAAGGAACTCTTTCCTAATCTAAAAGGAAATAACCAAAATGAACTCTTTCCTAATCTAAAAGGAAATAACCAAAAAGAAACTCTTTCCTAATCTGATGTCCGAGTCGACACGCGTGCTTTTCTTCTTGTCTCATCCAATGCTTGATCTCTTGTATCAGTACTAAAGTTTGATTGGCTGTTAGCTTCTTTTAGGTCTTGCTAGGAGTGGTTCTTTGATAGGATGACAGTGCGATGAGATATACTTATATATTTATTTAGGTGTATAAAGTGAAAGTTATTCATGAAACTTTAAATTTTTTGTTAATTTGTGTGTATACTCATATATTTAGGTGTAGGTGTATAAAGTTATAGATGAAACTTCAATTTTATTGGAAACCAGCTCCTTGCTAATGATATGTGATTTTAGTTAATTTTCATTTCCCTTCCCAACAGCTATTTATTAAAATAATGCAAAAATGACAATATTTTTATAATTAAATTGAATGCAAATTCAAGTTGAAATTATTTTGATGAAACATTTTACAATAAAATTTCCTATTTAAAAAAAATATAAGGATTAATCTTACTTAATCCTTCTTTATTTGCGAAACACATAAAAGTTAACCCTTTATCTTAACTATCTAAACCAAATAAAAATTAATTATTTTAAACCCTCATGGTTGGATAACTAAGTCAACCCTTCTTTCTTCACCCTTCTCTCTTAATCCCTTGCCAAATGGCACTAAGATTTGCATTATACTCAGATATACCCCGTGTGGTTTCAGAAGTGACAGTTTGATCCTTCTGTGACTTAAAAACTGAAGACGAGGGGAGTTAAGTGTCACTTCTAAAACCCAGGGGCATTTTCTGTCATTTCTACAAACCACAAGGGATTTTTTTTTTCCTTTCTAATTTACGGCATTAAATCAAGCAGGTCAAACACAATACCATGCAGTACAGCGTGAAGTGAATACGTGGCATGCTCATATGACAGCAAACGAACATCAGTATCCACGTAGTAACCCAGAAGCTCCACGATATTCTCATGCTTCAGTTTCGATATCCTCAGAAGCTGATGCCAAAGGAGGGCGGGAAAAAACTCCATGGTCATTTTTGAGGAGGACATAATAATACATAATTAGGATTAATTAATTTAGAATACCTGAGCTAGAAAATCATTATTTGATACGGCGCTGAACCCAGACTCTGACGGCGACTTGAGCTTCTTTATTGCTACTAGTTTTCCATGTTTCAGTATTGCAGAATATACCATACCGTATTTCCCTTCTCCAATCAAATACATTGAATCAAAATTTTCAGTTTTCTTGTTCACTTCATCTTTAGAAAGTTCAGGCAATTCGATTGAAACTGTTAGTTCTCTCGGTTCACCCTTAGGTGCGGCGGAGAGTCCAAGACTCTTTCGTAGTTCTGCATGTGATTTGAAAAGAAAAAAAGAAAAAAGAGAAACATGTTATTTTTAACAAAAGAAGAAAATATTCCGAGATTGTATATATCCTATCAAATTATAAATAGGTTTGAGGCATGTAGTGCATACTTACATTCTTAACTTACCTCTGATTATTGGATATGAACACAAATATTAAATCAAGGTTCAATATTGAATTATTTACGCCTTGTCTTGTCGTAGTTAAACACCTTGCCAAGCTGGACCACTTTTATTTATTTAAAAGAAAAAAGAAAAAAAAAAGCCAAAAGAACAAAGAAGAGGAAAGAAAAAGGGTACATAAAAGATGCATCAACTTTGGGAAATTAAATATTTCTTTTACCATATGCCATTTGGGATAACATTTCACCACATTTAGCTAACAATGGTAAAATGAAATGAACATCACAGGTTATCGCTACTTCTACTCTCTTAGCAACTTTTTCTAGAAGGCTAATAGAAAAAGTAAAAATCAAGATAACAAAGAGGAAACATGCATACTCTTCACAAGCTTGTTCGATCTTTTCTGTGATCCATTCTCTTCTATCCTTGAAGCTTTGTTCACTTTAACAAATGATCTACGAAATCGCCAGAAAATATTGAAAAGAAACCTCAAAGGTGCATGTACCTGCAAAGAGATCATGGATATAAACATGCAACTCCACCAAAGTCCTTCCAAAAAAACTAACAGGGGGAAAGAAAAAAAAAAGAACTAGAGTATGAATATGATAATAGTTAACGTTAGATCTGCGGCTATAATATGAGAAAATGATAAATTTATTGCTACTATAAGATCATACAGATGAATTGTTTTTCTTTGGTTCATCCATCATTAAAGCAAAAAATTCCAGAGTGCAAACAAATTAAGGGGAAAATTAATAAAAAAAGATAACTAAAGTCCGTGATTAAGTTTAATTAGAAGAGAGATGGTACCTTATCTCAAGCTAACTTCCTTGATTTATGAAACTAATTTGGAATTTAATCAGATAAGTAGGCAGTTATCAAATGTTATCTAAATCTACAACGTAAAACTGAAAAAAATTCATGGATTAATAAATCGAAATTAAACAGAGAAAAAAAAACCCCAACGCGAACATTAAATGGGTAATTAGGAGAACGAGGTGAGTATTGTAGACCGGAAATACCTGAAATTTTACATAAAAAATTTGTGAAGAATGTTTTCTAATACTTTTTTTTAGATCAAATTGCCTAACTAAAATATTTTTTGTAAGCTAATCTTTTCATATATTAATCAATGGATTTAAAACTCCTTAACTCAAATTTGAGACATCTACATACATAACTAGACCGACCAAAAATCTAAATAAACCCATTCTAGCTAGTTTGGTTGATATGAACTATTCTTCTGCCATAAAATCACATAATAATGGTCAAAGAAAGGAAATATTTACATAAAAGTTCTCACCCTCATGAGATGATGGTTTGGATACAATTCATGTCACTAAACTTTCCACATTGTTCATGAAACATTAGTAAGAATAAAAAACCATGAAATATCACATATTGAAAATTCAAGGTATCATAATCATACAAAGTTTGATGCACATTCAGTTAGGTCTCACCTAAATTGTTCTTTGCTGTCTTTGCGTCTCATTCACTGATACTACATTGGGCCTGATTTATGGCAAGATTAGATCTGGATGGATGTGCAGCAGCCTATCAAACAAAAAAAAGTAACAATTAAATAATTAAGCATTCACTGAATTCCACCTAACCCACATACGGATACCAATTGAAGAAAGAGTAAACCAAAATCATGGAGTAACTTAAGAACCCACGCATAGTAACTTAAGAACCCACACTTACTTTCTAACGGTTCTACTAGTCAATGACCACTGAGAAATGTCCATATCACATTTACCTTTATTCTAAAATGAACATATTTTTAATATAAATACAATACATGTGCTCCATAGATTCTCATTCTTTAGCCGCTTCGCATCTCTGTAACAAACTTTCCGCCATGTACGACAAGTAATTTGCGTCTATTTATTTACATGCATGCTCACCATTCATTCCCCTTGTTCTGAAAATATATATATTTCTTTCACTTTGGATTCTTATTATATTATAGCGTGGTTAATTGAACTTTTTACGTGAGTTGGTTGATGTTGGCGGGGATGACCTCTGAATACTATATGGAGAAAGGAAATCAATACGCAGCAGCTGCATAGCCTTCGGTGAAAAAATAATATAATAAAATTACTAAAATTCCTTCTAAATTAAAGTCCTTTGCGATTTTAGAATCTCACCATGACTCTGTTGATATGGTCCTAGATGCTACATTATACCCAATGTAGATCAGAAACTGCTCAGCCTTTGTTTGAGAAAGACTAGTCACTTTTATCCCTTCTCTTTAACAACTGCATAAAAACCTGAAGAAGAAAGGAATCTAAGGCCTTTAGAGGTGATAAAGGTATGTAAAAGAACATTGTAGGTATGGAATCAAATAAAATCCATTGGTCACTTAAACTGATATAAAAATAAAACTCAAACTGCACGGAAGTGACTAACTATTCACAACCTATAGCATAAGATTGTGGTGCGGGAAAAGATAAAATTCCAAGAGATGATGAGTAGATTTGATCACTTTGGAAAATTTAACCTGTTATAGAAATGAGCCCTACGAGAAGATTTGGGACAATATCCATCAATACTATCTTTGAAACTTTGGAGCTACCAAGGAGTAATTTTTCAGCATTGGGTCATTTAAAGTAGCTTGGAACTAATCTAGGTAAACGAAAAAAGTTAAAGTTCAGGTGTTATGTGATCAATGTTGGGATAAACCCGGGCCCAATAGAGCAGCGTCTCAGCGAATAGTAGAATTGAAATAATAAAAAAAACACAGATTTACTTGGAAAACCCTCTAAATAAATTTGGGATAAAAACCACAGACATGGATAGAAGAATCCACTATGAGGAAAAAGTTTAGAGTTACAATCTCTCTTTACAAGAAAAAACTCTCTTTATTTTTCTCTCTCATTCTTCTATATGTGGAGTTGTTTCTGGGATTGATTTTTCCTGAAGAGTTTTGGGCTTATTTATAGCGGCTGGGAAAACACTATTCCTAATTTTATAATATTTTCTTACTATGCTAACATTTCGGTGCCCGCTTTTCACTTTTGGTGCATTTATTTTTATGGGGTCCGCCACCTTTTTTGTTTGTTCACAATTGTTACTGTCAGCAATTACGACTGGCAATTTTTTACTTAAAAATTTGATTGAGTATCAATCATATCTTCACATTATTTTTCTATCTTACCATCTCCATGTTGTTCACGTCTCCAACAGGCCATAAGAGGATCGACACCAAATAAATTTATCAGTATTGATTGCTTTTGTCAAAAAGTCTGCTAGGTTATCTTTGGTGTAAATTTTTTGCATATTCACTATTCCTTCTTCCACTTTCTCACAAACGAAGTAGTACTGAACTCGAATATGTTTTATCTTTGAATGAAAAGCTTAATTTCTTACTAAATGCAAAGCACTCTGACTGTCACAAAATAGAGAAATCTTATTTTGTTCATACCCGAGTTCCTCCAGCACCATCTTCAATCATATCGTCTCTTTACTAACTTGTATAGCTGCTACATATTCTGTTTTTGTTGTTGAAGTAGCCACAACTGACTGTAGTTTTAAAATTTAGCTTACAACGTCGCAAGCAAGTGCAAATGTCACGAACCGTCCTATTTTTGGCTCAATTGGGTGCATTTGGACTCACTTATTCATGGTTAGGTCCATGAAGATCCTAGGGTTTTCTAGAGTTTTCTTGGATAATAAAGGTATGATAAATATTTTGTATCTAGAAGGTTCTAAGAAGTCTCATTAAAATATCTAAGGACCATTGTAAAAGCTTTTAGAAAATCCCATGTAAATATCTAGGGAGATATTTTAGGAGAAGAGTCTAGAGACTCAATCTTAACCATTGATTGTAAGAACAATCTAGAAGGCTAATCATATCTATCCATTGTAAGCTAGTCTTGTCTATAAATAGGGGCTAAGACATTTTATTTGTATCAAGCAAGAGTTGCTAAGCAATAAAACAATAAGAGCTTCCACTTCCACTCTTGAGTGTTCTCTTCCCTTCTCTTGAGTGAGTGTTTGAGGGATTAGGCTGACTTAGCCATTCTAGTGACACGGTTTCGAGTGAGGTTTGTGGTGAAAGAATCAGTCCGTGACATTTGGTATCAGAGCCAAGGTTCGGAAGTGATATAATGTCGAGCTCCGACCTTTGTTCCGAAGTACTTGGTGTGGTGGATCCGAAGGATATTCCAAGGCAACGTAGGGATAAATCTCGTGACATCATGACGATGTTGGAGGCACGGTTGGCTAAGGTGAAGCTTACCGTGGCGGATAAGATAGAGGCTTTCGACGAGCGCATCGAGAAGTTAGAGTCTGCAGGAGACGAACTTCGGGAGGAGATGCAGTCGGCCTTGAATTCCACCGTCGACATGCTACAACAAGGGATCACATCCGTACGTGAGGAGTGTGCATTCTTACGGTGCCAAGGAGAAATGTTCCTGAAGGAGATGGCTGAATTTAAAGAAAAGTTCAGCCAATATGATGCTATCTTGGCAACTCGAGGTATGATTTCACAACCTTTCATGGCTAAAGATACTCCTAAACCGAAGTCGTATAAAGGAGCTAGGGGTGCCCGTGAGATTGATAACTTCCTATGGAACATGGAAGTATACTTCAATGCTGTCGAATATAGGGATGATGCAGCCAAGCTCCAAGCCATACCTCTCTATCTCGAAGACATCGCTACGTTGTGGTGGCGTAGATGATGTGAGGATATGAAAAAGGGTACGTGCTCTATTACTACTTAGGAAGAATTCAAGGAAGATCTAAAGCGACAATTCTACCCGGAGAATGCTGAGGATGAGGTCCGAGGTAAACTCCGTCGCCTTACTAAAAAAGGTTCAATTCGTGATTACGTGAAAGAATTTTCAGAGTTGCTGCTGGAGATCCCTGACATGGGCGAGAAGGACTCTCTATTCTCGTTCATGGATGGCCTCGTGGGGTGGGCCAAGATGGAGTTACAAAGGCATGGCGTTCAGACTCTGGCCCAAGCAATTCAAGTAGCCGAGTCGCTGATCGAGTTCAAGAAGGTGAACAACTCGTCCAAACCAAAGGATAAAAAGGGTACGCTTATTGAAGGTGGGGGAGAGAAGGATAAGCCACCCAAAGAGTTCCCACCCAAGTCAACGTCCGAGAAGGGTAAATCCTATGACAACTCTAAAGGAGGTGACCGTTCAAAGAAGTTGGCATGCTATTTCTGCAATGGTCCACATAAGGCTATGGACTGTCCCAAGAGGGCCAATCTTGCGGCCCTAGTTCAGAAGGAAGAGGAGAAGCAAAATGAGGAGACCCGAATCAACTCACTTCGTCTCCTCAATGCAATCAAGGCAAAAGTGGATGCAAGAGTGAGGAGACCCGAATCAACTCACTTCGTCTCCTCAATGCAATCAAGGCAAAAGTGGATGCAAGACCTCGGGGGTCGATGTTCATTGAGACAACCATTTCCGGTAAAACCTTTAAGGCCCTTCTAGATACTGGTGCTTCTCATCTCTTGGTTTCTCACGATGTTGCTAGTAGGTTGAATCTTAAGATCACTAAGGGAGGGGGTGTCATCAAAGCTGTCAATTCAAGTTTCACTCCCATCGCTGGCGTGGCTCAGAAGGTAGATGTAAGCATCAGAGAATGGTGCGGCCAAGAAGACTTGACGGTCGTGACCATAGACGACTTTGACGTAGTACTTGGCTTGGAATTTTTGGACAAGGTGAAGGCCGTGTTGGTTCCATACACCAACACAATGTGCATC